AACCATGTTTCGTATTACCAATACATATATATATATACATATATATGAGTACATATATATATATATATGTTAAATCGTTTTTAGAACATTTTGTAAATGGTGTGTGAAAAATTTCATTTTCTTTTACATTTTAATAACTAAAAGAAAAGATAAAATGAAATTAAGTCGTAATACTTATTTTCTGAAGATATTTGTACTATCGTTTGAAATTAAAGATCTACACATGCGTTCTGTTTCTTAGAGAAAAAAAGATATGAATGAAAGTTATCAACAGGGACTATAATCAAATCATTAATGCGATCTACCGAACATACAATATGCATTAGGTACATGCAGAAATGAATTAGAAGTTATTTCAAATTCCCTATACTGGCCATTTTATTGTAAGTAGCCTCTTGATTGAAATCTTTCACAAACGTGTATTAATTGGTATACGACGATAGCTTGATACGTCCGGGAAAAATAGAAATAGTGAACGCTCAAATAATTGGAAAAGCCTCAAGTTAACAATAAATAAGCGACGTTACGTTCAACAAAGGGCAGAATGTGCCCGAATTGCTTATTACACTAGCCGATGATTGAATGGCTTATATATCTTTAGATAGATTTAAAGAATAATTTAATAAAATTAATATTACCTAATATAAATCTTCATCACGTCATATTGACACCTAATAGCCCTCTGAAGTTCTCGTAGACTATATAACTAATTGATACAGCTGGAGCCACCTGAAATAAAAAAAACCAGATAGTTTACACATATCTCTATATAAAATATAGTCGATGTAACTTTATAATTAATCATGATATACCTTCAAGAAATTTGGTGTTAAACCTCTGTATAATCCACGGACACCTTCTTTTCTAATAATATCTTTAAAAACACCAACCATGGTGTTAGGAGATTTATCTGGAGCTATATCGGCTTGCAATCGTGTCCTAACTAAAGCTAACGGATATGAACACACTTGACCAGCTGTGCTAGAAGTGGTTCCACATAGTAATAATATCCAAAACGGTGGTGGTTCGTTTTTGTCGTGTGTACGTAAATACCTATTTTTTAAAGTCTGTAAGGAAAAAATATAAATATTAGAATTATAATATCTACTATATTCAATCGTACATCAATTCTAGGTACCTACTTCATATACAGCCAGGTCAATGCCAGCATATGGAAGGATCCCTATTAAATTTGGGATGTAACCTTTGTAAAAAGATTTTAGACCTCCTTGGTTATATATTTTCTTTGTTGCATCAAGTAAACCGGCAAATTCACCAGTTTTTCTAAGTGCAAATCTAGTTTTGAGTACCTGACACATTAACATATGATATGTAGACTGAACATATATTACTATTAAGATCATATAAATAGTATATCTATTGTATAAATCTATCAGATATACGCTTAAGTTATAAGTTAAATTAAGGAATCAGTGTCGAACAATATTAGATTTAAAAACGAATAGTCTCATATCTTAAAGATATTATCATTAGTATTCTCAGTTACACCAATACTAATGTACTTATTTAATACCTCTAATGGATATATAGCTGACTGACTGATTCCTCCTGCTAAAGATCCTGCCATTAATCGTTCATACAGTCCGAGCTCTCGTACGTCATTTCCTTTAATTGCTCTCTTAATTTGTTCATACGCCATGAATTTTAGCGCACTTTCAGGTCCGATTTTAAGTACGTTTATACCGTTCCCTCTCCAGAGGCTAGTCGATCCCCCTTCACGGAGCATGTACCTGAAGCAACTCGTTATTTTGCAGTGTCGAGTTCCATGTACCTGAAATTATATCTCTTCGTCATAAATTTCATTAAAATCAGCATAATTATATTTCGTCTACGTTCCCTACGATGTTTATTTTGTAAGCTCACCTGCAAGTACACTTTAATCCGATCCAAAGGCGCGGTACACGTACGTGAAACAGCACCCGCTACACCACCGGACACCAAGTGTCGCCACCACATTCCAGAGACCATTTCGCTAGTCGTGAAATCTTCGGGGACGCCAATGTCCTCTCCAATATCCATATACTGAAAACCATCATGGAAAAATTATAGCCAATTTAACCCTGTATAAATACATTTCAAATCTCGATCGCATGGCGTTTTTAAAGTAATGTACACGTTATGTACCGACAAAGAGTAACCGCCTTGCATTTGAAGACAGTCCATGACGCGAAAAATTGAATTTCGCTCTGATAAATCGGGGATAAATGATTCGCGAATGATGAATTCTAATCGTCATGTTCCACGCGTTTCAACGTCGATTCCATTCAATTCTTTCTCACATAGTTCTTTTTCTTTCGTATCGTTGCACGCGCATGCGCAACAATATGAACCTGTACCGGCAGCTGTTCGAACTTGAACGTGTCCCGTTTCACATTTTTATTCTCGCGGAAGGCGAACAGGATGGAGTCAAAGAGAAATAAAAGCTGTGCCAGACTCTCTTATCTGCCTTGTATTCGAAGAAGCCAGTATGAACTAGTTAGCATCGTCGGTATTGTTAAAATCACGACCGCGAACCGGACCATACTCGATTTGGTGGTCGCTGAGTCGGAGTGACGACTTGTCAGATAATTCTTGAACAGCGAGTAGCCTGTAATTTTCACGCGTACATATACTCGTGCTCGATTTTCGGCTGTCTTATCTACCGCAGACGTTACATCACTCTTTTTCTACGTACCGACAGTAATAATACTTTCAAACATCGCTGCTCACACCGAAATAATTCAAAGTGCGCGCCGCTAGAAACGACCTTGACAATTTCGACGTACGCGCGAGAGAACTATTTAGAAAACAGTTTGGCAACGATCGGATTTTTGGACAATCGGAGAGTGAAAGTTCACACGAATCGGCGGCCAACGTTCTTTCAACGATGATAAAAAAAAATCGTCACGCATATGAAAGGTCGAAAGAAAAAAATGTATGTATTTGTATACGTTGTACCCTTTTTTTTTTAATTGGAAAACTAGGTAAATCTTGAGACTGTTCGAGACACGAAGATATGAAATTATTATGAAAATTATTTTAAATGGAAAGGAAGAATGAAAAATTAGAAAAAAGAACTTTCAGGTAATCGAAAATGATAAAATCAAGTGTTTGAAATTGAATGGCTATCTTGCGTCTTTGCCAACATTTTATCACGTCTTTAATATTCTACGTTTTCAGTTAACGGTCGCACTGTAGACAATACTTAGTACTTACGTGGACTTGTTAATAATATGGTTAGTCGACGATATATGTAGCTACAATTATCATAGCTGTTGGTTACTGTTAACAGTTTGCGCTAATATTGGTGCAAATGTTAATATTCTAGTCTGCTCGGAGTAGGAACAAAAAAAAAAAGAATGTTATATCACTGATTGGATATGCCAGATATTTCGATAAGTGAAGGTGAACGAGATGTCATTGCACGTGTTAAATGCCTGCGCGACGTAGAAATAATCGAAGTCTTTTATTTCTGGGATTCAACATATCGAAGAGTACCATATAATAGAGAAAACAAATTGAACAAGGTGACTTCCACAAAAACAGGACCGTACCCGTGATGTTCGTAGACCGTTTGCGCTTTCATACTAGATCTACCTTCTCAACATGGATCCGTTACTATTGAATTTGTCTACACTTAAGCTGAGGCTTAATCTTGTTTTTAGTGAAACTATACTTAACCACGTATACGTGATAGATTAAAATTTTTAAACACACAGAGAAATCGCCGGACGAAATTACTTCGAGGAAGCCAGATTTATTGTCGGGTTTCAATGAATTAGATTTTGAGCTTGTAGATCTTCCATTGATTACACAAGCAGCTTCTATCGATATTGCTGCGTAAAAAAAGGTCGTAAAACATTTTATGGTACTTCGATGGTTAAATTATTCCCGGAAAATACCGACTTGAAATTTGTCGGGGAAAAAAAGCATTTCGAGAATCCTCGGAATATATTTAAATATTTTAGAGAACATCCTTCGATATTAGATGGAAATTCACGGCGCGGAAATTATTTAACATATCTTTAGGGAAACAAAAACCGAAGAAGCGTTTTGTCTCTTCTAATGGTTGCATTATGACGGTACGACAGAGTATAACAGACAAGGAAGAAATATTCCAACACTTGAACAAATCTGAACAGATACGTCACTTCGTGCAGTACGAGGATGGTATCGACGTCCACGGTATCCATCGCCTGTGTTTAAAAGGCAAATATTAATCCTATCGCGGTATCTTCGATTTTAGTCGAAGCAATTTCAGGCACAACTGGAAAGAAGAAGAAACGTGCAGCTTTCTGCGGTTATGTTGGGCCGCGAGCCAACAGATTGCACTTGGTGTCTCGCCCAATGTCGGCTTCAAATCCGCTACTATTCGGGCAATATCTTGCACAGCGCAAAGACATTGCCGGTCACGAGACTGATTATTTTAATCCTGGTTGAGCGACAAGAAAAGAAAATTCACGAGAATGCCCGAAAAAACGGATATCGTAACGTGTTCGACTTCATCGCTAGAACTTCTTAATAAATTTCTTATATTTTTAATTAAAAAAAAACAAATATGTTTAAAAAATATAAATATGTTTTTTAACCACACACCTACTGTTTATTTTGTATATTTTATATTTTGCATGTACATACGTAGACATGGAAAGGGTGTATCATATTTCATAAATGTGTATCGTATCGATCTCGTGAAATTCAATATTATTTACTGAACTTCTGCGCGCAAACGTTGTTCACCAATGTTATGTACACCGAGTAATTCTTCAGAAAATGGCAACAAATTACGACAGCAATTTACTTCAGTCGATTACCATGTAATTGTGCAACTATCTAGATCTACTTTGAGATTCGTGTTTTAAATGATAAATAAAATACATTTAGCATTTTAAAGTTCATTTTAACAGATAAAACATTTACGGCTATTATTAACATAAACAAATTCATATCTATTCTAATCTATGTATGTATATGAATAATGCTGAATAATGAAAGATCTATATTGGCTGAATCATTGCACGTGGTAATACACATTGTAATCATATTTAAAATATTTCATTTGCATGTACTAACACATTTGCGGCGCGTAATCGTCCGCGGTTCGAGAAAGAACTTTGTAGCATAAATAATGGTCCCGCAAATCCAGCTTTGCCAGAAGAATGGAATTCTGACTTATAGATAGTCGTGCATACCAGTCGCTTGGGTTGAAAAGATTTATCGATAAGATTGACAAAAGAATGATATAGAGACGGCATTAACTATTTGAAACTTCCGTTAACATTACAATTAATCTTCTCAATATCGCTACAAAATAATCTATTGTCCATGGCAAAAATACAAACGGCAGTAATGATGGTTTGAAATTATGAGAAAATCGATATCGCGAGTCGAGTGTCAGATAACAATCGTCCGATCACCGGTTAGAATACGTTTCATATTGAAAGTATCGTACATGAATGGTCGTTATAATAATGCCAATGCTTCTTTACGATACGACTTTAAATATTGCTTTATCACTTTTCTAAAAATTATTTACTGAACGTGGTAAAGCAAAGAAAAAATTATTGCACGATGTTCTTTGATTTATGTAAATATTTTGCTTGTACGAAAGCTACAAAAAATGTAGAAAAATAAGTATTCTTAGAAAGCGACACGCGCACATTTTATGCAACTATTTGTTTTTAATACCGTTACGTGTGGACTTTCAGCCTTATGCAATGTCACTGACATAATGCAATATTCCCGCGCACGTGTCTTCTAATATAATAGCATTAACTTAATAATAAAGGACACTGTAACTTAACGCTATAATATATTGATATAAATTATGATACGATTTACATGAAACAATAGAAATGTTCGTTACAAATAAAAGACTTTACTTTTACGAAAGATTCGAATAAGTACGTTATAATCTGATCCAGAGATCAAAATTCATGGTACAATTATTTTAATGTTGATCATTTTAATTTTATTTAGCTCAATGAATCTTTACTTCTCGTCCATTCGAACACTATATACTACACATGTATGAGAATGTTCCCGCGCGAATGTACATATTGCTTCCAGTGGCAGCAGCTCAATCAGAATGATCTTGAACAAAGTGGAGAAGCGACAGAAAATTTTACGTTCACGATGAATCATCACTTTATACATATGAACAAGTTCAACAATTTGCCAATATATATTACAGGACTTAACGGTATGGTGTCTAAATTGCTAAAAAAATTCTCCTCAAAATGATGAAAACTCGTACTATTCAGAAACTATATGTACAATGGCGTAAGCGCGGAAACATTGTAAGACACGTGTTCAGTCTAGCTACTGTCAGTTATCGCCGGTTTACTGGTGTTAATTACTCAATCATTTTCAATCCCATTTTTATCTAAGAATTTGTGTATCGCACGCAATATAGACGAAGTGAACAGAATATTTTATATCGTTTACACTTTAAAACAACATCGCGTCATCGATTGCCCATCGATAATTAGTATCCGATACACAAATATTTGCTTCGTATTGATGCAAATGTTCCAGCCGTTTATCAGCCGGAACGAATTTCGCAAGAATGTCGGCCGGAACGTTCAAGAATGCAAGAAACGGTACTCTTGAACTTTCGCTTTCTCCTACCGCCACGTGATATTTTCGCAGAATCTTTTTTCCATAACCTTCAACCGATTCGGTGGACAGAAATCTGTGTTAATTTATCGTAGGATTCCTTGCATCTAACCTTAAAATTCTCATTTTCAAATGCGAATCTTAATCTCATCGTTATGCCATGCACACAATGAGTTCGGATTATTCGTTAAAAATTGATCAGAAGCATTCAAGGAAATTTCATGAAAATTAAGCTTTCTCACGTTTAGACCTCACTTTTGAAATTCTATTTTAAATGCGGGATAGAGGTTAGAACCGCGGTGCAATTCCCGGCCGGATTTGGACTCGTTGCCCCTTTGTGTGTCCATAGATAGCTACATTAAAACAGCATGGTGAGACAGAGACACTCACCCGTTGCAGAAGCTCATGATAGCCTTGAAGAAATTCCTCGCAAACCTGACAGGTAGACGGAACGCTCTCGTGCTTCAAAATGCCCGGTTTTTTAAACGTGTACATCCCTTCGGAATATAACGGAAATCAAGCACGCGGTTTTCACCGAAAACTGTGCGTTCCCTTATACCGGAAAAACTAGACTAGAACGCGGAAGGATTCGCGTGGCTGTGTCACAATCTTAAATACCCTCGAATCGGGTGTATCTGTGAGGACACGTGATTAACGAACGGAACCGGTAACGAAAGAGAATTATTCGACGGTGCATATGCACAACGAATCGGAAAAAACGAGCTTCGCCACGAACCACCTATTCGAAAGCTCGGAGTCCGATCTCGAGACTGAAGAGAAGAGAAGATCGCGAAGAAACGGTGGGGGAAACGGAACGAAGATATCGGTTCGTCCGGGGATGCCCCCACCATGATTTTACAATTCTACTCTATAGTGTGCGTAACATAATACGTATACATACGTATACATACGTATATGTCATCTAGCAGAATACACCTGTCAGAATATGCATGCATGCTCATGAATCGAGTTCAGATATTCAGATTTCGTGCTAATGATTTCAGCAAGTATTAGTAGCAAATATCAGATACTATATAGTTCGAATGAAACATAAAAATAGAGAAGGAACAATGTGAAACAGTTCAAATACGTATTTAATATATCGTTTCGCGATGAAAGTTTTGAGAAAAGAAACCATAATATTTGAGAGAATAAATTTATTTTCGCTTCAAATGTGATCGTCTGTGTGTATTATAGTGAAATTTTGAGTAACAGATGTTTGAAATAAGTCGTTCTATTAATAATACATGGAAATACGTTGTATTAATTATATATAAATGTTTTAGAATGTTTAAACAGTGTATAAAATGTGATTAGAAGCTTGAGCGAGAATGTTGTTGCTATTACAATTTCTATAAACTAGTCTAGAACATTAATTCTGAAATTTAATTCCGTTTCAATCGAGTCTTGACAGGTACGAGAAGAATGCGTAACACACGTGGCCCCTTTCCACGTGAAAGTTAAACATCCTGACTTGTGAATCAAATGTGGTAACTGCCGCGATACAGTGGGTTTTCCCCGCAACTATAAAGCGATAACTACTTCGACAAATTTTTAACGGGGTAGATCGGGATAAATATAAGAGAAAAGATAAAAATTTGTTCATACTAAATCGATTTAATGTCCGTATACGTGTGCGTTACGCATGCGAAATGTACACGCTCTGACTAATGCCGATCTGGTCTCATGGTAGTTGCAGCCGCATTACGGAAATACACGTGGAATAATGAAGTGCGTCATCCTTTCAGGAAACCGAAGCTAGACCGAACGGTGAATAAATTTACTCCTCCGAACAGATACACATACATCGGCACACACGAGTGCAAACTCCTGATATATACTCGAAAAGCTTGAATAAGTTTCAATTTGCAAGGGAACGATAAAATTCTCTATTTGTAAAACTACATTTAGAAATAATGTAAATGTCTTACTTGCGTCGATGGTTAATTAGAGGGAACATAAAGTGTCGGTCCACGCACACAGAGGTCTTAAAATTTATGACGACAATTTTTCGAGGCGGCGCTGCCTCTAGGCGTAGGGCTCCAAAGATCTGTGGTACAGCACTTATTGTCGGTCTGTATCCAGCAGACGATGACCTCACAGCCTAGCACATACGGCTGACGAAACGTTGAGAGATATTTCGCCACCCTAAGAAAGCCCGCCGCATATGATCAAGTTCGAACTAGAAAATGTTATAAGAGTACCGCGTTCCATTAAACGTCCACTCATTAGTTCGTTTATGAGAAAGTTCGACTTAATTTCTTGTTTCAGTGCTCCGTATATACTTTTGCCAAATATTTTTTCACATAAAATCATATTTTATCATTAATTGTCGTGGCAATCGAAAAGAGAGGAAAACAATTGTAATGCGACTTGCGTAGTATTATCTGTTCACGCAGAGAGAAAGAAAAGGTCTAATTAGGCACGGTTTTGCGATAGGTATAGTATAGACGTGTTAACTCTATGTTTCATCGATAACGACTGACACGCAAGTGATCGCGGATATCCACAATTTGAGTATTTTTCTTCCATTATCACTTTTAATGTTAAACATATATTTTAATGTTGATACGTTTACATGGCATGTATCTATCGTGTGCGCTACACCTATGCATCATGTCAGGGTTACAAATTGTCGCGAGGACTGTTAACGTTACGTCGGCTATTTCTTAATGGAAACGAATTTGAACATTTGCTCGGAGTATTTCCGATTTCAAAATCACACTCGATGCAAGTTTCACTCGGTAACCGTTTCGAGAACCGAATTACATCTTTAGAAAGCGCATCGTTCGATTTGCAACCCTTCCAACTTCCAACTACAGTGAGGGTAAGCGGTTATGCAGACAAAAGAAGGTGGCTTTGACGGCGCATGCGTGCGAAGCGTTTGTACCGCGCTTGCGCCTACGAACCGAATCGACGAGTAGAGGTGGTTCGCCTAACATAGCGGGGAAAGGTACTGGAAACAGCTGGCAGATTATCAAGGTCTATTCGAATGACAGCCACACGTCACACCTCCGGTCGAGCCCCCTCTGTCGACCAATGGAAGGCCCGGATTCGACTCGGTCTCTTTACCACTTGTACACATGCAAATTACATCTACGAGTTCATCGAACAATGGCTATCTAGCAGCAGACAGACGCATAGAGCCATTTGCGCAGCTGCGTTTGTGTTTCATTAACCAGGTATGAATGTGGAGCTTTTACTACTTGTTCGGACTGGCGGATTGCCGTTTGTAGGCAATTCGCATGTATAATTTTGGAAATAAAAAGGGCCGAGACAAAATAAAGACACTACGGAAACTCGTTCGTAACAATTTATTAAATAAATTATTTTAATTTTCGTATGTCTATATTGGTAAGTTTCTTCTATGTATATGTGTATACAGGATTTTTTAGTCTGTATATGATTTAGTCTGTCAATGATTTTTGAGAAGGTTGACTGTATATGTTTATTTAAATTGATGGAGGCCATCGCGTGCAAAATGTTAGATCAATAGGTTTAGTAGTGAATTATAGTGAATTTTATATTATGTTTTATGCACTGTTGAAGTATTTTGTTAAAAAATTGAACAAAAAAAAAGGAAAGACAACGTATTTATTTTACGTTATCCTATTTCTATGTGCTACTTTCTAATGTTGCAGTTACGCTAATAGTAGAATCGTGTGAACATACTTACGTTCGTATGATGCCAGTATTCAATGAGGCCCAGGAGATCGGTACTTGGTGCATAAAGTAGAAAATCTCGCCACTCGTTGAAGCTAATAGTAAGACTTCCATCTTTGTCCATTCTATAAATCGGACAATAGAAGCCATATAAATCGATAGCGATGAAGAATGTTCAAAATAAAACGTCTTGACATATTATAAATAAAAAAAAAAATTTGTATCAACGGATCGACCCCGTTATGCAAAGCTGCGATGACTCATGCTGTTGTCGGTTGAGTAGTGTGTATGGCTTTAACTATAATTTCTACTCAACTAGAGATCATTCGAACGATCTGCACAAAATCGTTATTACGCGAAAACTTACCGTTGCAGTAATTTCTTCGCTTCGTCATAGTCCATCTTTATCCCTAGCTCTTCGAACGATCTTATTAATTCCTCCAAGTCAATTCTTCCTGTAAACATAGATTTTGTGTCACAGCGTGAAAAACATAAAGAAAAGGAAAAAAAATGTATTTTCTGCGACATTAGTCGAAAATTATTATTAGTCAATATCAAATTAATAATACGACACAATAACGTACAAGGGCAATGAAATTTCCGCGACGCAAATGACGTTGTTTTTAATTTATAAAATCACAGAAATTGATGTCAGAAAATATTTTGAACGATCGATAACGAACTGTAATAAAATTATATTGCGTCAAAAATTTAATGAAACATAATGCGACCTTGAGGCGGTCTTAACCCTCGGATCGCAGACATCATTATCTACTGTTACATATGATGACGCGATGGGTGATGCTTGCTTATCCGGAACACACGGTAGATAATGAAGCTTTTCTGTGTCTCCGGGTTGAAATGAGTTCAAGATCGTACATCAATTAGTATACAGACAAAATTCCAACACAGTTATTTTTTTAATAAATTCAAATATATTAAAATTTACAATAGAAATTACTTAAAATAATTCAATTTTAACATGCTTACAGAATTGTAATTATTTAATATTTCTTATTCAGTTTCACTTACCGTCCTTGTTTTTGTCAAGATGAGTGAATTGTAGACGTAAATTTTTTTCATGCTCGCGGACATAATGTATGAATTCCGCGAGACTAATATCGCCACTTTTTGTGCTGTCCGACCGAGCCAAGAATTCCTGAAAAGAAACAGTTACTGTAAATCTAGAAAGTAGAGAAATATTTATCATCGTATTGAAAATAAAACAAACGAGACGGTCACGAAATACGTACTTCGAAAAAATTTTGGTATTATAATTATTACAGCGAAACAAATCGGAGTCTATATTTATATATATATTATTATATTATATATAATTAATAATATATTATTATTTATATATACATATAATATAATATAATATATATATATATATATATATATATATATATATATATATATAAAATTTATATTAAATAATATAATATATATTATATTATTAATATTAATATTTTATAGGTTCATTGAAAACATTATAACTTACAGTTATCTTCTGAACGTTTAATATTAGAGAATAAAATTTGAACGTTCAAATAGTTTATAAAACTTAAACTTACATCGATGAAATTTCAATTTGTTTGTTAAGCGCTTGTGTGTTAAATCGCGCTAAAATCGCTCCATTATGTAAATGATCGAAGACTTAATTTTATGTAATATCTGCAGTATGCGATACATGCGTACATGCGTCTTCATGGGATGAATAATCTAATTTTACTAGTACCGTGATTTTTAACGAAAATTGTAACTGCGATAGATAAAGCGACAAAAGTCAACGCGATCGACACAGTAAAGATTAATTTATAAACACTAGTTTACAACTAATCCATTGAGAACGTAGATCGCAAAAGCCACATGCGACGTCCGCATTGGAAATATTCAAATTCTACTTACCTCGGCATAATAGTATTTGTCGACTCCGACCTCGCGGAGCGCTTTCGACAAANTAATTCCTCCAAGTCAATTCTTCCTGTAAACATAGATTTTGTGTCACAGCGTGAAAAACATAAAGAAAAGGAAAAAAAATGTATTTTCTGCGACATTAGTCGAAAATTATTATTAGTCAATATCAAATTAATAATACGACACAATAACGTACAAGGGCAATGAAATTTCCGCGACGCAAATGACGTTGTTTTTAATTTATAAAATCACAGAAATTGATGTCAGAAAATATTTTGAACGATCGATAACGAACTGTAATAAAATTATATTGCGTCAAAAATTTAATGAAACATAATGCGACCTTGAGGCGGTCTTAACCCTCGGATCGCAGACATCATTATCTACTGTTACATATGATGACGCGATGGGTGATGCTTGCTTATCCGGAACACACGGTAGATAATGAAGCTTTTCTGTGTCTCCGGGTTGAAATGAGTTCAAGATCGTACATCAATTAGTATACAGACAAAATTCCAACACAGTTATTTTTTTAATAAATTCAAATATATTAAAATTTACAATAGAAATTACTTAAAATAATTCAATTTTAACATGCTTACAGAATTGTAATTATTTAATATTTCTTATTCAGTTTCACTTACCGTCCTTGTTTTTGTCAAGATGAGTGAATTGTAGACGTAAATTTTTTTCATGCTCGCGGACATAATGTATGAATTCCGCGAGACTAATATCGCCACTTTTTGTGCTGTCCGACCGAGCCAAGAATTCCTGAAAAGAAACAGTTACTGTAAATCTAGAAAGTAGAGAAATATTTATCATCGTATTGAAAATAAAACAAACGAGACGGTCACGAAATACGTACTTCGAAAAAATTTTGGTATTATAATTATTACAGCGAAACAAATCGGAGTCTATATTTATATATATATTATTATATTATATATAATTAATAATATATTATTATTTATATATACATATAATATAATATAATATATATATATATATATATATATATATATATATATATATATAAAATTTATATTAAATAATATAATATATATTATATTATTAATATTAATATTTTATAGGTTCATTGAAAACATTATAACTTACAGTTATCTTCTGAACGTTTAATATTAGAGAATAAAATTTGAACGTTCAAATAGTTTATAAAACTTAAACTTACATCGATGAAATTTCAATTTGTTTGTTAAGCGCTTGTGTGTTAAATCGCGCTAAAATCGCTCCATTATGTAAATGATCGAAGACTTAATTTTATGTAATATCTGCAGTATGCGATACATGCGTACATGCGTCTTCATGGGATGAATAATCTAATTTTACTAGTACCGTGATTTTTAACGAAAATTGTAACTGCGATAGATAAAGCGACAAAAGTCAACGCGATCGACACAGTAAAGATTAATTTATAAACACTAGTTTACAACTAATCCATTGAGAACGTAGATCGCAAAAGCCACATGCGACGTCCGCATTGGAAATATTCAAATTCTACTTACCTCGGCATAATAGTATTTGTCGACTCCGACCTCGCGGAGCGCTTTCGACAAATCTTTCACGTCTATTTTCCCGTTTCCGTCCTGATCTAAGTTTTGAAATATCTTCTCGAGCCGTTCCTCGTCTTCCGCCGGCAACTCGTGTAAATAGTGCGGTGGCATTACGCCGAGCACGGCACTTCCTCGATTACCGGGCATGCTTCTAGTTACGTTACGTTACGTCCTGTACTCTCCAAATATTGTCGAAGACTTCCTCGCAACAATATCCTCGCACACATACACGCAGGCACGTCACCGTTATTTTCTTCCGTTCCCTTTCTATTTCTCGAGGTTACAGGTCTCGGTATCCACTTGCCGAATTGTTCTACGATCACTGCACGGAACGTTTCGATCGTTAAACAAACTTACGGGAAAACTCATAACTGCAACACACACGTGGCTCGCGAGCAGTGTGCATTGATTTTTTCCCCTGAATAACTAGCACGTTTTTCTACCTACCGAGTAACGTAATCCTGAGCGTGACCGTCACACGTCGTCAAAATTTACGCATTCTCACTCAATACTTTTGGCCACAGCGAAGATCAATGTCGACCACGGAAAAGGGCTCTCGGTGCTCCACACCCTTCCTTGTCGTACAAGTCCACTGAAATCGACCGTGTACATTCACTGTATAACACTGACACTGAACCACACTGGGCGAGCTATGCGCCTTCCTCCCGTGCTTGGCACCTTACAACCGTTTATGCATAACTGGCTATGTACTCCGGTATCGCTGGAACCCTGGAACTAGAGTCGCCTGGATCGTACGATTCCTGCAACTTTACCTACCGAGCAGAAGCGCGCGCATCGCGCGAGATTCGAATGTACTTACGAGGGAAGTTCCACAATTCAGAAATTGAAATTCATACATTGCAATTTCGGTGGCATGAATTAAAGGACAACATACACCTTGGTCGGTAAAAAGGTTGACTACTTAAAAATATTTTCATTCGGCTGTAGAACATTCGAAAAATACTCGCGCAATTTGTTTTCGAAATTCGCGAAAATAATGAAGTTACGAGTCAACTAGTTCGACGCTTCGGAGTTCGGAACATCGACCATTTCTCGAAACTGTATTTTTCAGTACAGTGACCAATATACCTGGAATACTAATAAAGCATTTAAGTCGACATTTGACATAGTTTCATTACAGAGTTATCGAACAGTTGTAGAATTCTTTTTTAATATTTCAGTTTCTTTTTATGAATGAAAAGAGATGGTTTTTCGCTAAAACAAATGAAACTTCGGAATTCAAATAACTTTCATTTCCCGGATAAACAAAATTGCGACGAAAAATTCTTTTTAATGTGCGCTGTAAGAGAAAATCTTTTTAATTTATTTACGATAATAACAAAGAAGTTAGAATGATTAAGTACGAATAATTTGAATTTGATAAAAAATGTTTTTTTTTCTCAATTTATATTTGTATAAACAATTTTTCGTAAACATAAAATTCAACATAAATATCGATATTTGTTTATTACACAGTTATCTAACAATTATCCAAATTGTCTTCGACATGTTGTTCCCAAAATAATTAATATCAAAATTTAAGAATATATTAAGACCGATGTCGAAATCGAACAAATTAGAAACAGTGTTAGAACGGACGATTCGTGAAAAAAGTACTCCTCTATTTATATTGAATAGATAAATATATTACACTTTCACTTACAGTACAATTGTTAGAAAATACATTAAACTTTCGTGGATTTTCATAGACGATATAAAACATTCGAAGAGTTTTATCTCGACATTTATGCAACATTACCTCCAATCAAGTGTTCTTTCCTATTGTCGAAGCATTCGTATTTCGAATTTCGTTTTATTTGGTGATGGCGTGTCACTAATAAATGAAAACTGCGAAGAACAAATCGTTTCTTAAGGGTAGCATTTCTTACATACGTTGGATCAGGAAATGTAATCACAAAATTAATCTTACCATTTGTAATTGTATGAATAATAATTTAAAGTCATTTCTTTTTTTTTAGCGGTGAATAGTAGAATCGGGATAATATGAAAACTTTACTATGAACGTGCCATCCGTTTATGTTATTATAATGCGGTTTTTCCATAGTTATTTATTTTAGAAAAATACATTAAAAATGCCAGACTAACAATTATATTAAACATAACGGGCATTGCGAATACATAACATTTATATGTATACTATTTATGTGTTTCTATTAAAATAAGCGAAAATTCCGATTTATTCGTCTCGTGTAAATCTAAATGACGTTGTTACAACATATTGACCCTGAATGCATTCAAATACATTGCCCATCATGTTTACGGCTAATGTAACAAAAATCTTACAATCGGGAATTAATTTAACATAAATGTCACAAAAGTACCATTCGTACTGTTAAGTGCCAAGTGCGCGCTGACTATATGCATTATATACCGATATGTATATAATAATTATTGTTTTCGTATGTTCAAACAAAGAACGTTAATATAGATTGTATGTGGCTTCATACCATTAACATAGGTACGTGTGTATTATTATACACATAGTGACATGTTTAACATGCAATTAATCTGAAGCTTGCACAAACAGTATTGTTGCGCTTATTACTTCCCAGTGTACACAGCCCTCTTCGCTTTTACTCTACATTTATCAACGAATCATACTATGAATAAAAACAAAAAAAGAAAAAAAAACGACAGAGAAACATATCGAAGGGCAACATCTGACGAATGGATCACTAGAAAGATTATTGGATTTCATAATTCCTTTAAACGACGGAAACATTTAAAGTGTACAAGGCTTTTTTTTCTCAGTCGCACGTGTAAAGGAATTACACTTAGTGTACAAAGGAGTGATTGCAAAAAACAGTAGCTTACGGAATTAGTAATTTGATAAATACATACGTTGTATCTGAACAAATTGTGAAGACGGTATTCATTTACAGAAAGGAACAATCGATCTTCTATATATTCAACCTTGTGCTCAGACTAAAAATGCCCTTTAATGTAATTAGAATAGAACATATATGCAATACACATATATATGCGCAATGTAATCGTTGAGTTCAACCATTTTTTTTATACATTACGACACATAAATGTTAATTGTCACCAAACATGTAAAACCGTCTCAGAGTTTGATTTGCAATCATAGATGACTTTACTGCAACTAATATTCTCAATCGCGGTTCAAAATTTCAAGACAATGTTTATGTAAAAAGTACACTTCGTTTTCCTCTTAGAAAATGTCACCATTCTTTTTTTTTTGAGGTGCGAAATCAAAGGTGGCCCCTTTCTGCAATATTGTCACACATTTTCTTCAGTACTGTGGCCAATTCGTGTTTCGTGATATAACTTTGTGGTAATTGTATAGTGATTGCAAATTAAATTCTCACAATAACGATAGAAAATTTATATTACATAAATTTTAAAGTCGTTATAAGATTTATCTGTGAAATAATGAGTAACAAAATAAATAAAGTTTCTAACATAGTTCTCAAATACATAAATATACCATCGAAACTAGACGTAATTAACACCAATGTTATCGCCAATCGTCGAACAAGTAGTTTAGCATCTGAGTTTTGCGCATTTCTAAATCTGTAATGGAAACAACGTGTACTCTCATGTAAGTATTAAAAATAGATTTTCGTTCACACATATCAAAATTTCGTGCTAGTCCATGTGATTAACAATACTGCGACCATAAATTTAAAAAAAAACATGATTTCTAAGAACTGGAGTAGACTAAACTAATTATTCTTATATTTGGATACATCTTGTTTTTTTTATATCATGGTATTCCACTACCAATGAAAAGAATTTGTATCAATGTATAATAAAAACAAATAAAATTGCACCATTTTTCTCATAATTTTCACAAATAACTAGTTATGCTCTGGGATTATTATTTCTTTCCAATTCAGAATAATGTGCCTTGTATCGCAGAACTTGAGAAAGAGAAGAGAAGCTATCTTGTGCAACTGTAAAACGTTTCACTCAGCTTTGTAGTACTGCATGGTTCCAAAAGGCACATTTCAAGTTGAAAGAAATTTTTTACTTGAACATATCTAGTTTTGTAGTAGCAAAGATAAAATAATATTTTTAATGAGAAAGGTAGAAACGTCAACTTTCTCTTTGATCTATAAGGTCTCATAAAAGTCTATAATGTCACTTCCACTAAAACTGGAATCATTAATATTTATGCTATATATTATTTCATAAAAAATAGAAGAACCCAAAAGCTATTGCAATTCGTAAATACTACAGTATAAACAGGTCGTAACTTGATTAACGTATTTGATTCGACGAAAAGTTTTCTGTTATCACATTCAGTGAAATACATAATTCAAATTATATTAAGATTTAGATAAGATCCAATGATAGGAAGAAAAATATTTTTACTTGTCGTATATGAAATGCAAGAGGAGAAAATATAGTAATTAAATATATAAACTTCTTATCAGTAGAATCAAGTACATACGTCACTATACCTTTGTCCTAAGGAACGTTCGATTCATCTTTTCTTTTATAATACATGTAAGAACAAAAATAAGAACAAGATATAAGTATTCCAATAATATTAACATCAAATCACGTTTATAGTTAAGAAATTAAGGTGATAGTTAAGAGGAAGCCAATGTGACTGTTTTGGTTTCTCGTAAGTTCGTAAATCGAACATATTTACAAACGTGAGAGCTGCAGCTCGCATACATAACAGTCTATCCGTTTCAATTCATTCACCTTTTAGTAAAAGATATAGTTTTGAGCCAGTGACTTTCAAATCAATTACTTCCTATCAAGAATAAAGATAATTTTTACATTTGGTAAACGAAATAAATGATGAATTTGGAAGTCTGCTTAGTAAATATATTGATTTATAAGTTAAAAAAAGTAATATATATTGCTAACATAAAAAATTGTTATGAAAAGCACTGTCCCAAATAATTAAATTTATCATGGAAATAGTAAATAAAATGCAATTTAATATTTTTATCAGGCACGAATGGAATTTAAAGATAATCTTTCACAA